TTCTAAATACACTTTTAATAATAATAAAAAATTTATTTAATACAAATATACAATAAAATAATTTGTTTAGTATACATTAATATATTAAACTTGAAACTATTTTATACGTAATACATTTTTTACATTCTCGTATTTTTTTCATATTAATTTTATAACAAACATCGTCTTTTTAAATTAACTGCGCATATTTTTTATATATGTACATATTTATAAGTTTATTTTAAATGTCGGCAATATATATATACATAAGAACAGCTATTATTTAGTCAAGACGCTTATAAAACATTATATCGATATACACACACCTGATGCGTATAAATATAGCTTCTACTGTTGCCTTAATCAATGTAACATGTACAATCAGAAATAATGAAAGATATATTAATTTATAAGATTATACTGACAAATGGGTAATAAACACAGTACATCAATACACGCTGCGCATTTTATTACAATAAATTATTAACACATATTGTCACACAGAAAAAATTTGTATATAAAATTCATATATTCCAAATTTTATTATATATTATTATATTAAATATAATAATATTTGCTTTTCAACTATGTATTTTGTGAATCTTGAATAAAAACATATATTTTGGAAAATCTATTTTTTAGAAATAAAAAAAGGAACTATACACTTTTTTCTTGTGCATAAATATGTTCTATTATAATTATTATATTGTCTTATAGTTCTAACCGTATTCTTTCGATATCGATGAAGGAATTTTAATCATTAACAGCATTAATTAATATTTTCACGTATATTATTCACGTATATTTCGCCATATGATCACCCGGTGATAGGTATATTGTCAGATTTTCGCGAAATACGAAAAATGGCGATATCTCTTGCAATATTGTTTTTAGTATAAAAATCTTAAGTTTTTTTTATGTCACGTGGGATGATATCCAGAACTCTAATTAAGAAGCCGGAAATGCGAAAAAGTTTACCCTTCCCAATATTTGGATATATCTTTGTACGACATACAAAAAATTGTAATTTTCGAGGCCGCGGAGACGCGGAGAGCTATTCTACTATAATTATAATATTTTCCTACAGTTTTAACCGTGTTCTTTCGATTTGGAAAGAGTTTTGGAAATTGTAAGATATATATTATAAATTGAGTTAATTCAGCGCTATACATATGTTTAATTTTATTTCGACAATCAGATTAAAAGTAATTAATAAATAATTTTTGCACTTATGTTTGGCATATTTAATAGACGTTTCAAAAATGTTTTAAAGACATGTTTTACATCTTTTATAAGATTTTAAAATATTTTAACGTTTTGTAAATTATTTTCACTTTAAAACATTTCAAAATGTTCGTAGGAATCAAATCTAGTTTTTACTAATCATAACTTTTATCTGTCAAAAGATACAACCGGTATAATCAGTGTTATTGGTTTATTTATTATTGCGTGCACCGCTAAAAAGCAAACTTTGTTTGTGATAGAAATTGTAAACATACAGCAACGACCAAAGTGAATCCCTCAAAACTTACCTTTTTTAAAAAAAGGCAAAAAAGGCGCCAAATATACGCGCCATCTGTGTGTGAAAAAATGTTATACAAAAAACATTGTTATTTTTAAATTACTGTAAAAAAACTGCTCTACAAAATAATGTTATTTTAACTCCATACAAAACAGTATTATTCCAGTATTTAATACCTAAAAAAAATTATGATATCAAAAAAATTGTGCCAACTAAATAAAATTTTATATTACAAAATTTATTTATTTTATTATTTCCAATATTATTTTATTATTTCCTATATATCTAGGGGGAACAAATAATTAATTTAATTTAAACATTATTATAACTGCGAAGTAAATGTACGGAGTATGTTAATATCATTAGCATATTGTTCGCCATTGCTGCGCGCGATCTTTGCTTCGCATGACTTGGCCTGAGAAGTTACAGTGTCTCTTGATGATGATTGAGATGTTCTTTAAATTAAAATTTCTATATTAATTTTTTATTATAACATCTCTATTCATAGAGCATATATATAGCAAAAATAAAAACATATATTTTTGTTATTATATATAATATAGATGCTGATTAACTTGTCTCTTGATACGATAATAACACTATCGACTGTATGCGATGTTTCATTATCTATTATAATTTTAAGACTAATCTTTCAAAAGCAAAAGCTTTTAATATGTATATAAATGATGTGTACTTATTGTATAATAATTTTATTGAAAGTTTTCTCTTCATATTTATATTTTTCAATAAAATAAACTTGCATATTTTTAGCCTGCGATTTATTTGATATGTAAGTAATGTACGATCGTTTTGTAAACAAATTAGTTTATTAACATTTATACAAGGGTTCATACAATCCAGCATCAGATAAATTATAAGCGCAAATTATATGTATATATATATATATATATATATATATGTAATATATAATACTTTTTATTTATATTTTATTTTAATGTTATTTTATATTTAAATGTTATATATATGTTCAGTCGCGCAAGTCTCTCAGCTGGCGCTCATAAAGGACCCGCATTTATGGACGAGAATCGCTGTCAACTTTCGCTTACACAGTCGCTCTCGCCAAGAGTGCATCGCAACCAACATCGATTTTAGTTTCGAGACAAAGCTTCATACAAACAAGAGGGAATATATTTAAGCTGACAAATAATTAATTACAATAACACATCTCTAATAAATGCAATGAGAAAATATTCGCGATTATCCAAATCTAGCAAAACATTTAATGAAGCAGAAGAGATATCAACCATGTCCCACGAGATTCGTCGATTCGCCCGCCTCGCGGGTGAAATCACGGATCTGTGCCAAACGTTTGTGAAATTGAGGACATACACGTATATACACGCAAGAGATGTGTCTCTCGCGTCGGCGGCTTCTTCGCCGGTATTGTGTGTGGAGGGATACTGGCCCCGGGGAAAGTTTATTTACAGTAGAAGAAGCGTTTTCAATCCCGATGCGCGATTCGATGCACGACTTCGCGAGACCTCTGATCCCCCGAGCGAGTTCTCCGTGTTAAGGCTAATACAAACAATATACATACACAGGCTACGATACAAATCGCAAAATGTACTAATCAGCAGTAGAGTTTTGGTCTTTAATGCCTTAATTCTGGATCTGACATTTTTCGATAGAAATATACCTAACTAGAAAAGTGCTCAAATAGATAGATAAACGTATATATTTTATCTTAAAGTATAAATAATCCTCTTAAATATACACATTTTATTACGAATCTGACATAAAAGATATATAAGGAGTTATTTTTAATGATGAAATTTAAAAGATTTGGACAACTTCGCAAGTTTTAAGTTTTACGCGACATGTTCTCGAACAAAATCATAATCAAATCCAAATATACGGCGATAACGCCATTGATGTGAGAAACTTTGCCTTCTTTCCTTCATATGTCCTTTATAAAATATAAGAAGTAAATTTCCCTGTTAAAATATAAACTTATTTCTACGGTTATTAAATTTACATTTTACGATTATGTGTTTTTTTCTTCTATTGAGCGTGTTCTTGTACGATTGTCGATGAAGTTGGCGGTGCCCGATCGCGTGAACGCTATTCTATCAAGAATGGAGTAGAGGAAAGCGCTGCCACAAAAGGAATAGATACAAGGAAGTGAAACTGGAGTCGCACAACTATGTACAGAGTGTCTGTGTTGCAACTAAATGCGAACTTGCGTAATCCAAACTCGGGAAGGCCGCGCTACTAATGACAAGTCCTTGTTTAAAATACAATTGTAATACAATTGTAATTAATATCATTACGCTTGTTAAGGAAACGGCAGTTCCCTTATTATATACCGATTCCCTCCCGGAGTAAGTTTGTCTCACGCGTATCGGCCGTCGAAACGACGCAGGAGAGTAAAATCTCGCGGGAGGTAACCGAGGGGGCAATCGATTCGATTTCACTCGGAGATGTTGGTATTCAAGGTTACTATCGTCATGGTTTGTATGCTATTGAACTTACCAAGTCATCCTGCGTTCTCTCGCGAGCCATGAATAAGCATTCCTCATTGTTGCTCTGTTGTATGTGCATATATATGATATATATATAGTATGTATATAACTGATTTGTATCTTAATATATGTGTGTGTGTGTGCGTGCGTATGTCGGAATCAAAGAGAGCCTTTGAGAAATTAGAGAATATCGATAAGGAAAGGATATGATAAAGATGGAAAGAGGACTGATAAAGGACAAAAGAGAAGAGTACGATGGAAGGATAGAGAGAAAGAGAGAGAGAGAGAGAGCCTGATTCACCTTGCTAATATCGTCCTGTAGTAATTTACACGACTCGTCGAAGTCTTATATAGATTATGATCGTCTGCCTCTACTCTCACGCGCTGCCTAATTTACCGCGATTACTCGCAAATTGATAATTCTTGTTAGGCAATGCACCGACGTTCAACGCCAACACCTTGGACACGATGTTGAGATCTTCAGCACCTGGGCCCTGCACGTTGCCCAACTCGCCGACGACTCCCGACTGATAGAGCAAACGCTGAATCTGCTTGGCGGGTGTTTGTTGGCCTCTCGTCGGAATTTGCCTGAACTGCGTGTAAGGATTGTAAACGAACGTACTCGGATTCCTCGTTGGCGCAATCAAGTTGAATGCGTTTCTCGCCGGTGGCGGTTGCTTGTTGTCTGGTTGCAGGTTGAAACCGAAATTACCAATCGCGTTGAAGGCCTCCTGTCTGTTGAATCTGGTGGCCGGAGCCACGGGCGGCTGAAAGTCGGTAGAAAAAGAGATGAAGTTCTGGTGCAATCGCTGCTGGTGCTGTTGCTGAGGTTGCTGAGGTTGCTGAGATTGCTGAGGTTGCTGACGAAACTGTTGGAATTGCAACTGCTCCTGATAGTTTGTACGGAATAACGGTGGTGCGGCGGCGCTGGGAACTTCCAAGGACACACTTGGCTGAAAATGAACAGCAGGCTCCAGAGATGGCTGAAGCGGCAATACATTCGTCTGTTGAAAAATGTGCTGCTTCTGCAAAGGGAAATGATTGTGCTGGTGCAAACGATAAATTCTTTGCTCCTCCAGCTGCTTCAAGCGATGCTCCTCTAGTTGCTTGATCTTGGTTTGCTCCTCCAGCTGCTTGATTCTAGCCTGTTCCTGCAAGTACAGTTGCTGCTGTTTTTGTCTTAATTGCTGCTCGTAGAGCTGACGTTGTTTAACGAGAAACTGGGTCTGCTGAATCTGCTGCTGTTGTAGCTCTGCCAGCTGCTGCTCCAATAGCTTTTGCTTAAACTCCAATTGTTCTTGAAGAGTCAGAGCCTGTCCGTCACCAGATTGCCTGTAAATCGGTACAACGCTTTTTGGAACACCGAGCTCGTCCTGTTGTACCGTGAAGGCTGCCACCAGAGGTGCCTGAAAGATTTTCACTTCCTCTGCTGGAGACTTTTCTTTATTAACGCCGGAGGACGACAAGGTAATGTTATCTTTGGGCGTAACAGTTGGACTAGATGCAGTTGGTTTCGGCGAAACGAGCGCATTACCGCTCGCAATCCCATTGCTGGCGCTTTGGGTTAAGCTCTCGGAGAATTGCGTGATCGGCTTCAGCGTCACACTCTCGACTCTGTTGACCAAGGATGAGCTCGCGGAAGTCTTCAAACTTCTCGTTTCCAACGAATCTATCTTGGACTCGCTTCGCGGCAAGTAAGTCGACGGATTCTTGTCCGGTACAATCACATTGTGCACGTGGAAACTTCTAGCGTCGTCGTGACTAGCTTTTTCTATGACCATCGGCGACGGATTCGGAGTAACGTACTTCTTCGACTCGAGAAAACTTGAATTCTGTAGCTTCTCCTCGTTGGGAATTTCCTCATCTCCCGGGAAACCGTTGAACGAGAAGGAGGCTTTTGGTATTACGCCGATATTCGTATTCAGATTCTTTTTGACCACGTCGTCGAAGCTCTTTTCGACGGTCGTGATGAGCGATTTGTCGTCATCGTCCTTTCGCTGCTCCGCGGACTCGGCTTCCAGTTCCGTCAACGCCTTCAGCAATGCTTGTCGCAAATTTTTGTCGAGCTTTACTGGAGCGGGTGGAATTTCGAGGCCCTGGGCTGAGATCTCAGATTTCTGAGACCTAACCAGATTTAAGCAGACTACTGCTAGTAGAATTGTTACGGCTATCTGCAAAGTTATAACAAATATATATTAAAACAATATTGCGTTATGTAAATTATGTTACAATGATTGATATGATTAGAAAACAATGACTGCGTTCAGGAGACACAACGGTTGCACAACTGCTGGGTAACAATCGAATGTGATTGTTTCTTGCTTCTAGAACCAACAAATCAACGTCAAGTGTTGACAAGACGATGCTCAACAGTTGTGCAACGGTTGTGTCTCTGAACGCACTCAATATTCTTTGCTGCAAAATAAAGCGAAATCGTTATAGCAAAGTTTGTTCCCAAAAATTCGAATTATCGAGGGGATAAAGTTGCCTAGGAAAAGATGAACTATCGAAGGTATAAGATTATCTACGATAAGAATAGACATCTATATATGATTAGGTTTCACTGTATTGATTCGAGAGAGATCGAAAGCTAAAGTTTGTCCGTTCGGTCTATCTCCTGTTAGTCCCGTTATGAGTAGAAGAGAGCCCCTTAGGCGATTTTCTCCTCCTAAAAACACAGTAAATCCGTGTCTACCTACAGCTTTCGAGTCGTGCGAGCGAGACCAATAGTTTGCATGCTTTATGTAATTACACGTAAACGCCTGACATCGCCGAAGAGACACGCGCGCGCATAATTAAATGTACAGACATATTCTCGGAAAGTTAAGGACGTGTAGCAGGTGTAATAAGCTCTCGATAGATTTTAAGCTATTTATTAGCCGTTTTTCGTGTAGGCTAAATATTATTTTTCTCCGCTATTATTATTAAATACAAAAATACATATTTTTTAATACTGCCAATTTTGCTCCACGTGACAAAATATTGTCAAGCATAATCGTTCGGCAAACTACAAAGAGGCGAGTATCGATCGAGAAAAAAAGAGATAAATGCGAGAATTTGGCAGTAATTTCATTACGTTCCTCTTCAAACCGAATGCAATTAGAAGCATGTATTTTTAATTACTATACGTATGCGCACAGCGTGTGCGCGCTTCTTGGGAATAAACTTTGGTATTTAAATGGAGAGAAACTCTTGGTAGATGTATTAAAGCTTTGTTACATCGCCGCGTATAATCGAGGTTGAAAACTTTTGTAAATACTTAATCCCTTTAATATTCGCGCGTTATGTTTGATTTCAACTTCTGTCAAATTTCAAAAATTATTGATTTGTTGAAAAATATTTTTGCTTTATTTTAAGAGTATTATATTTTTGCGACATATATTAAATTTTTTATCAAACTAGGTAAAATGATTTATTAAAAGTAATCGATAAATCTTTTTTTTATTCTTTCGCGCTTCCTAAAATTAAAGGAATTAAAATAGACATTAATATATCCGGGCGATATTGTTTCTTAACCAATAGCGAATAATTTCTTTTTACTATCAATCTATAAACAATAATCGCATCTTTGACTTTGACAACTAAAACTATCCGTCTTCGCATCATCTCGAATAATTACGGACGATTTTGAAAAGTGCCACCTTTGATTAATGGCCGCGTCTCGCTCCTTTCATTTTCATACTGATTCGTGACGAGTAGCGTGAAGGACGTCGCGGACAGTGCTTAATGATTCCTCATTGAAACAGTGTTTGGATATCATCCTAGGTGAGGATTTGCACGATCCATCGTGGAGAAATTATTCCAACAAAAATCGTAAACGTAATCCATTCACAGACAACACGAACGACTACGCCTTGGAAAGGTTACGAGCTACCCGCCAGAAGCTATTACAGGCTTTGAACTTTCACCCCGCTTCGTCAAATCGCTACGGTGGGAGCCCCGGTACGATGCATTCGCATACACGTCGCGAGAGATAAGTTATTGACGTACTGTCAACCATAAGTCCTGCGAAGAAAGAAAAATCGAAGAAAATTTCTGGCGAAAACACTAAGCGTTCTCAAGGATGTAGACAAAAAAAATGAAAAAAAAAAAGAAGAAAAGCGTCAGCTACGCTGCGTTAGACGAGGACCTTTGACATTTGCAAAGAAAGTTACACCCAGGGAAAAGACAACGGAACGACACGCCGGGAGGGTCAACGATGCGAGCGAGCGTACATCATCGAATTATGTATTCTTCGCACAACGTGAGTCTGCGCTTAAGTGCCAACGCTTTTGCCGGCAAAAGGAAAGCGTTAGAGATGCGTGTCTGTAAACTATCCCTGGAATTTGCACACAATAAAACGGGAGAATTGCCGCGTTTAGCGCGCGCATCTGCCTTATAAAACTGTTCCGAGCGTCTTCAGCTCCCTTCCTCTCGGTCGATCTTGTCTAATGGTTAATTGGTTCGCTGTAAATTTCCCAGGAACGAGACTTTAGATTATTCCTATGGGGAAACGTAAGAGCATTCGCAAAGTCTTTTGTTCGTTCGGGTACGACTGAAGCGGATGAACGTGAGACTCCGCGTAAAAATTCGCCGAGTTCCTCCTTCGCAATTATAAATTTGCGAATCGCCGGCGGTAAAAATGAGGTACGGCATGTATCTCGCGAGCAAGTTGGGCTCTAGACACTTTGGCAACTTTCTAAATTCGTACGGTCGTCCTCCTCCCGTTTGGTCCACAGCGTCCCATTAATCTTCAGCCGTACACAAACGGGAGGAACGCACTCTGTGACTCGCAGGTGTCTTACCACTTAATAATAATGGCCCGGATGCGGCTGGAACTGATTCGCGTTGTTGCAGCTTTGACGCGGTCGGTTTCACCTTCGAAACTCGCCGGACCGACATAATCGCCGCGCTTGACATGTGTCACCGCGTCGCACGGATTTATAGACACGACGCGCGTTAAGTAATTCTTTGCATAATAACCGTGGACTCGCAAATTAATCAGCCGCAAAACTCTCGCAGAAGTCGAGAGTCGCATAAATATGCGTGCGCGCAAGGGGAAGAAAAGTTGCGAGGCGGAAGACGAGTATGAATATCCCGAGCGGTTGTTAAAAAAATCCGTTTCATATTTGGCTATCGCGAATCTTAGACTATGCAAATGTTTTTTCTGCGTTGCGAACTCTTGACCCGTCATTTTCTAGCGCAGAGAGTGCGCCGTGCGAGTTTCACCGCGCCTAACAGAATGGTTGAATCGTTGGTTTGATATTACTAATGCGCGATAGAAAATATATTGCATATAAAATCTCAGATCCCTCTCTCTTTTCTCTTCTCTTACGTTTATTACATGCGCGCGTGTTATTAAAATTAAAATTATATTTTAGCTTATATTATTAAAATATCGCTTATAATAGAGATCTTAATGAATCTTAGTTGACAAAAAATTTACGAGTCCAAAATTTCATTGACCAACGAGTATCAGATTAATTGTTTTGTCAGACACAATTTTTTTTAAAATATATGACACACGAGCGTCAAAACTGTCGACAAATGTTTAGAATAGATCGAAAGCCCCGCAATTAAATACATAGCGACAAATTAACATCTGTCAAAGTTAATTGCTCCACGACAATAATCAGGCTGAGACAGTCTAGCTCCAATTACAGTTCAACAAAGAATAACTTTTTTTTTTTTTAAACACAAAAAGAGGGAATAATCATTTCCCGTAATGTTTTTTTCGCGCTGAATATAATTCCGGCTTTCAAATTGCTATATCAAAATTTTGTGAGAAACTTGTAAAACAAACTATGAAAAATTGTTATTCCTTTTCTTGTACTTTTTTTATTAATCTTTATTATTATAATCATTTTCCAGATGCTTTCTATATTATTTGAATAAGCACATTGGTTTCCAAAAAATGTAAAATTAATCATTAACAGATGCTAAGAGATCTTATAGACGTCGTATTAAGAAAAAAATTATATACAATATATAAAATTAGTAGCAAAATATGAGAAAGATAAAGCTTTAATAATATATAAACATGATTAAAATTATTTAGTTTCAATTCCAATTAATTTCTTTAAATAAGATATCGCACACATATCGTATATCATACAGTAGTCATAGTTTGCGGTACTTGCTACCGGTCAGAATGTATATATGACAAAATGTGACAACGATTATTGAGAAACTTGTCGCGTTAATCGAAGAAAGAGAGAGAAAGAAAACAAGGAGAGATGAAACCGACCATGGAGTCAGGTTCACGCCGCGCGACCGCGAGTGGGGAAACAGCGTGAGAGAACTCGTCACATTGATCCGGCCTGCGCATAACACAATATTGCTGCTGGCACGTAGAGGAAGCAGAAGATGAGGAAGAAGAAACCGCGAGAGCTGATGTGGCGGCACTTTCACTCGGCAGAGTATGTCGAGGATGCGCACCGCTCGTGAACTTGCTTTACCCGATTCTTGTCGGTGTGATGAGCATGAAAGAAACGTCGTTACAAGCTCGACAGACTCGGCCTTTTGTCCGCCGGATTACGAATCGACTTGACGCAACATCAGCCGAACGGAATAACACACCCAACAGCATCTTTTTGTCGCCGTTAATGCAAAGTGACAGCGAAACTTCCTGATCTTAGCGATAATACGCGGTAAAAAAAATTCGGGACACACGCAAAATTCTATTTCTAATTTTGCATGCCATGTAATGAAGAAAATATTTGAGGAAGTGAGACACACACATATAAGCTGCATCTCGAGATACATGTACATATTAAAATACGTTGTAAAAAATTATAAATAAATCTCCATTTTGAATTTTGTCGTAAACAGACTGAAGCAGATTTTAGAGCATTCGGTCAATTGAAAGTAGGTAAACAAACGCGTTCGTATAAATTTATATACTAATTTTATATATATATATATACAAATATATAAATTATGAGATATCCTATAATTCTCTCTCGACGTTAATTTCAATAGTGCAAATTTTTCAACCAATGTGAGATTTTTCTATGTCTGATATCGATGCGAATAAACAACAAACTACAACAAACTAGAACTAATATCATGATATATTATTAAACATTATATCACGCAATAAATTTACATTAAAAATAAATAATTAAAATGCAATATTGCAAGATTATTATAAACTCTTTTAAATCGAATCGATTCATTTGAAAATTGCTTATAAAGAAACTTAACATTAGAAATCGTTCTGAAAATCTTCATTCCGGAGGAATCGATTCCCGATATAATACAAAGTTTGTATAAACCTGCATTAAGTCATGAAAGATTTGAAAAACGTTGGCTTAAGTACGCTTACCGCTAAATTATCTCAATTATGGTCATTACGTTTCCTATATAAAAATATGCATTATCTCGAGATCAATTTAGACCAATAATGAGCGAGGTATTGTAATGAGCGTAGAAAACTGTTAGGATCTATAATACTCGTACTACTCGAAACTAATTGGTTAGATTCGAGAATATACTTTAATCAAATTTGATCGCTTAGCGATTTCACATCTAATAATCATATTCAGTGGAGACAACAATAGTACAACCGGCCGAGTAACAATCAGTTTTCTCTGCCAAGTGCAACCAATTTTTATGAAAAAAAATCATCTAAAAGCTCTTACTAAATAAAATTAGGAATGAGATGAAAAACACAAGTAAATATGGGTGTTAGGTTACTTATTTCAATTACAAATTGTTCGATCAATTGGAATTAAAAGCAAAAGTAACTAAAGCTAGACAAAAGATAAGAGATAGATAGATAGAGAAAGAGGAAGAAAGAAAGAGACCACTTTAAAAAATTTAAAATTTATTTTTCCCGGAAAAAAATTACGCGATTAATTAATAAAATTTATTTCGCACTATTTATTTTTCCAAATGATGAGCTTTCCACTAGTTGTATCACGATGTATCGTGATATCGTGTAGATTTCGGATTTCGTGTACAGAAACGCGGAAATGGAAGACGCGTGAAAGTGCACTTCACCAACAAGTATATTTTGTCGCCAAGTACGTTGCGATTATACAACGAGTCCTTGGCGTTGAGTAACGCACAAACCCAGCGAGGAAAGATAAACCGATGCGCCTGAATGCAATTAAAACCGAATGCACCATGCAAAACATCGTATTGCAAGTTTAGAGTGAAAGTTTCGAGAGATCGAGGGCCTCCGTCGAAGAACCGTCTGTCTCTGTTGCTCAAAATCATTCATTTCGGCCGGACGTATTATTTCTCAATCTATCGAAGTCGACAATCGATTCGGATTTTTTTAAAATCTTTATTTAGATACTCTGACTAGAGACTCCGATCGCTGATCTCGAAAGACGATCTCAAAAAGTATCTTCAACATATCACGTCGACAGTGATCGAAACCTTTCCGCGATAAAGATTCAGACGTGAAAAGTCATCGAGGTAGAAGCTTGAACGATGAAGGCAAGCATGAAAAATTCGAAGCGTGGGATCCGATTAAACAATGATTGTTCCAACGTTGGAGTACGTGATGTCGGACGAGAGGTCTACGAGGCCGATGAGAGAAAAGTTCGGAAAGGATGCCGAGGGGCTTTCCACTTTCGACGCGAAAAATCGTCGATCCAACGGACCGCGAAGCTGCCTGCCTCTTCTTCGCGATTGTTAAGGAAGTCGTAAATGTTACGACGCGCGTTTTCTAGCCGGATGGACGATCTGGCCGTGGATCGATCGGAATGCATCAGTTACGAAATGAACTCCTTCAACGCGAAGAGGCACGCGGGCGGGAACCTCCTCCGGTTGCTGTTGTATTACGTGGTTGTACTGAATCCGAATACAAGTTTCCTCCTTACGAGATTGGCATTGTCGGCGGCCGTTTCGTAAGAACTACCTGGCCCGTGTAATACGGGGCTTTTTTTTTTACCACAGGCACAGGTCCGGCTTTTATCTCTCGGAATGGATCGCCACCGGAATGAAGCGGAAGGGGAGAAAAAAGGAGAAGAACTTTCTTCCCGCGGCGCTCGAAAAAGATGCCATCTACTTTCGTGGGTCATCGAACTCACCGCCTCGTGGTGAGTACATCCATCGTCACACCCATCTTTTCGTGTCATCGATCCCTAATAATTACTTTCTCTCAAAACGCGCATCGGCGACCAGAAGCATCTCGTCGACGTGACCATGCATTAAGAGACGGAGGATTTCGAATAAAGATTCTCGAAGATATCTTTTCTTACCGTTATTACAACGGTCGGAAGAATTGATCGAAAAATGATTCGAAGTGAAAATGGAGGACACATCATTACGCGCTTGCATCATAAGTCGCCCGAATTCAACGATACTTTTTACGATCCATCAGATCCTCGTTCCGATTAGATCGTTTTGGAGCAATATATCGTTTTCTCCGCCCCGCCCTGTACCAATCTCAAATGAAAAGTTTAGCTCTTGCAACGCACACTGTGCGGTATTTAATCTTCTTTCTGGTCCATTAAATTGACCTTGTAAGAGAGAGCAAATATCGTATGCATCTAGATTGCAACGAGGATAATCTTTTGATTCGAGAAATTTCGCTATCCTTTTTTTTTTTATACAAAGTTTTTTCCACAAAGCTCAATCAATCTTGATCTTTATTGGATTAACGCGCGTATCGATTCTCGCTAGCTTAGATCCGTCCGCGAAACTCTGATTTTGACCTTAATTAACGGCACACACGACCGTACTACATGACAACTGGGTCGTTAGGAGTGCATATTTATGATGCTCGCGTGTTGCATCTCGGAGATTCGAGCGGAGAATAGAAATTGATCTACTGACAGTCCAGCGACTTCAACAGAGCGCGTCGATTCATTAATGCGATTCATAATGAGCTTAGCACACTTCACGGTAAATTGCCGCGAGCGTAAAGAGAGGAATGATCTCTCTATCTTTTATCCGAATCAGCGACTATAAATTAACGCGACATTTATTTGCTTTCTTCTTTCTAAATTAATATCTCGAGACTTTCGTTATTTTTGTATCGATGCCGCTGTAAACTTCAAAAATCATGTGTTAGATAAACATTTATTGACATTTATCGCGAATCTTTATTCGATCGTTTAAACGATAGTTAAATTTTGTTTTTAAGAGTAAGATAAACGGTATTTTAGAAAGTTTTCAAGCCGTAATATTTAATCACGTATATGTGTGCACCAATCAATCAAATATATCATTAAACAAGAAATGGGCGTACAATTTAAGTCACTGTGCAACATTTGCGATAATCATCATTTACGCAAATATATCAAATACTGCATCGTACACTTCATGTAACTGTGCAATTAAAAATACAGTGTAACACTCATATCAGTCCCCGAATGTGTCATTTTCTAAATCGCGCGCCACATAAATAATGAACCCGTAATTCGTTAACGTTATTCGGCCCACATTTTCGTTTTAGTACGCATTTTAACCGAGCAAGTAGCCAGTATTTACCGGAAATATTATATTGACAAGTTAAATGGGAGATTTCGTCGGGTCAATGATTCATCAAGTAGCCCATCGAGAACCGTTAACCATCGAAGCACATTTTCTGCGCGAGCGATACGATCTACCTGGAAATCGCGAAACGTACCTTATAATGGAAGAAGAAAGTAGCCACCGTGAAACGCAGGTTTCCTCTAACATAAGTAGAAATTCACGAGTATATCGATACGCGTCTAGAGTTGTGAGAAAAAGAGATTACTATATCGTCAAGTAATTTCGTCAAATAATCATTTTACAATTATTGATCAAACTTGGATTATCGCGGTTACAGTCGCTTCGCTCTTTGTAAAGCGAAAAACAATGCACATGGTACAGCTTTTCCGCACATTACAGAGTTCTTCCGTCAGCATCATCAGCTACAGCTTGAGATACCCGATTATCAATTATTATGATATTAGATATATATATATATATATATATATATATATATGCTTTTTATTAGCACTATATACGCGTATTTACGATATTGTACATTGTCAAATTTTTTTAAATGCTGATCACTTTGCACTCATTTGATCGATATTATTCGAGCCGCACTGTCACTTTGAACCGCACGTAATCCACTATCGCGAGAAGGAGACAAAAAGAGATCGATACACAGCATAATAGGTAGAAAGAGAAAGAGAGAGAAGAGAAAATTTGGAGAAAAGTTGGCGAACGAGCGGAAAAGCTGATCAGTGAGAATGAGTGGTTTCGTACTCACCAAGCGCATGATGCTGTCTGTGCCCACGCTTGTACGGGTCTCGGCTTTTACTCGGGAAAGATGATCTCCGTAGGTAGGTAGGTGATAGTTTCGTGAAAGAGAGGTGGGGTCGTAGCCAGATTATATAATCCGTCGTTTTATAAAACATTTAGGGATTTTATAAAGTGCGGCCACATTCTCAAATCATGGTTGAAAATGAAATATTTTGGCAATCTGGCTAAGAATTTTAATCTTTTTATAAAACGCTAACAAGCGACCCGCCACATTAGATTTTGGCTGATTTATTTCAGTCATTTTATGAACGGCGCGTTTTTATCAATCTTACTTTATGTTACATTTGATAAAATAGTCATAATAAATGTTTTTTTTATATTTTTTTTTCAGGCTTATATTTCTTTCTATTATTTGTTTTCAAACATAATTTCCAAAAATTTTATTTATGTTACTTTTATAAAAACTTAATTGTAATAAATACAAGTATTCATAAATACGGTAAATGTTTGGATTAATTTACACATCACGGATTGTTCTCCGCCCACGCGTTTACTTTATAATAAAATTGAACTATATCAAGGTCAAGTACAAGGATGGAGCTAAATCTCATTTTCTTAAAATGTTATTTTTACAATACTCCAAAATTGCATATTTTTGGAACTAGAAGAGAGTGTCACAAAATTCAAAGCGTGTATTACTTAGGAATGTACTCTTTACAATATATGTAAAAATGAAAATAATCCGTGATATGTAAGTTAATCCGAGAACATTTACCATAAATACAATAAGTAATAAATACAAGTGTTTACACAAGCTTTCTTTCATTTAGAAATACACATAATTACCTATTCATTTTCTATAAATGGCTATTCTACAAAGACAGTTCATAAAATGACTAAAATGAACCAGCTAGAATCTAAACCGATGTACAAATCGTTGCGTTTGACAATATGGCGGGTCACTTGTTAGTGTTTTATAAAAAGACTAAAATTCTTAGCCAGATTGTAAAATATTTCATTTTCAACCATGATTTGAGAATGTGGCCGCACTTTATAAAATCCCTAAATGTTTTATAAAACGACGGATTATATAATCTGGCTACGACATGTATACTCTCCAATTTCCAAGTATATATATAATTTTCTTTAGATTTTTAAATTTATACATATATATATACAGGGTATCTCATTTTAAATGCTGCAGGTAAATATCTCGAAAAATATGGAAAATACAGAAAAATGTTTCCGACAAAAGTTGCATGGTTTGAAGGGGGTCACATGATGAAAATATAGACTTGACGTTGAGTGACCTTCTCAAGGCCAGATCAATGTGATCGATATTTTCTTAAATGAAACTCCCTATTTTTTATCGCATATTCTTGTAGCCCTTGTTGAGACGTTTTCAAAGCACTATAATAAAGTATTTTTTCATTAAGTATTTTTCGAGTTGTTTTATATCTTAATCTGACATATTTTGATATAAAAAATAAAATATCTTGTAAAATATTTAGTTTTCGATGATCTTACCGTAATACTTTTATGTACAGAATAATGAGATGAATCAATTGGTATAAAGAAAATAATTGTTTTTAAGAAAAAGTACATAATTATTTACAAAGTATTTTTTTTTAAGCAATTATTTATTTTTTTACATCAATTGATTCATTTCATTATTCTGTACATAAAAGTATTACGATCAGATTATCAAAAACTAAATATTTTATATTTTATATCAAAATATGTCAGATTAAGATATAAAATAACTCGAAAAATACTTAATGAAAAAATACTTTATTATAGTGTTTTGAAAAGCTCTCGTGGTAAGCTACATAAATATGCAATAAAAAATGGGGGATCTCATTTTAAAAAATTGACTTGAGCCCAGTAGGGCCTGTTGAGCCATTGGCGCTAACACCGTGCCTAATATTCGCCGAATATTCGGTTATTCGGCACATGACCTAATGACCGTTGCCTAATATTCGGTATTTGATATTCGGTTAAATATTAGACGAGGTCATGTGCCGAATAACCGAATATTCGACGACTCAACATAGATTATTCGAAAACAATACAGTGGGCGCGCGACACTCCCGACCGCGCCTCCTCGCATAAATACATTATGTAACAATAAATGTGTTTTATTTAATTATTTTTATTTTTATTTTATTAGATATATAAATAAATAAATTAGATACTCGAGCATGTTAAAACTACGCATCCTTTTTCCTTTCAATTTTACATTTAAAACTATTCGGTGTTCGGCCGAATAGTAAAAACGTTGCGAATAGGCAGAACACCGAATAGTTGCCTAATATTCGTTGCAACTCTAATATATATATATAGGGGAAAGTTGGGTAAAACCGGGTAGGCGGATCAAACCGAGTACCCCAGTTTTTTCATAATAAATGCTGCTATCTATGGCTAACTTGTGTTATTAGTTGTAGATTGGCGCCATCATTATTTTAAAACAAACCGTGCCCCTGTGCACACGATATTTCTTTTTTAACAGAAGTTCAAAGCTTTTAGTCCAAAAAAGATCGATATCGAGGTAAGAATCGAATCATCGTGCACTTTTTCTATATAGAGCATCTGTTTCGGTAAGTGCAGCATTGCATTCTGTACATATTAGAGAGTATATCATATTAGTTTTGATCGACACTTTGTATGCCGGAATATACAACCGACGTATTTGTTACTTTACTTTTGTTGGGGCAAAACCGGGTACTGACACATCTCATATAATGAAAAGAGGAAGAACTGTTATTCCTACTTTGTGTCCCTACAAAAAGCAATTGGAAACGAAAACTAACGCTCAGAACAAAGAAACCACCAAAAAAAAAGCTTTTTGAGACCCCTAAAGTTAAAAAATTAAATAAGGAAGTCCTGCAGCAATGTCGAACAAGAGGATATCTTTATTTGTGATTTTTGTCAATAGAATACATCTTTATATTATATTTTGATTAAAATAAATCTAGATTTTGTAATTACACGGTGTTATGCATATTTTCAAATGGGTACCCGGTTTGACCCTACCGGTAGGACAAAACCGAGTATTTTGACTTCTCCACAAATACTTGTTATTCCTGATAACCAGAAATTTCTTTTCAGCAACTAGCCTTATTTTCTCATAGTTTAAGGTTGATCAAAGATTATTAACGGTCGGGAAAATTTTTTTTTTTCTCATATTTTTGTAGGAAAACAAATCCAAAAAAGTACCCGGTTTTACCCTACTTTCCCCTATATATATATATATCATATGTTAAATAGTTAAATTATAAAATTACATAAATAACTATAAAAGTCACAAAAAAGATTTGAAGTGGAATACGTGCACTGTTTGATTTTGTTTTGACACATAGATATAAAAATATTCGATGCTGGAGAAATACAAACTCGAAAATATAGATCTCGGAAAAAATATAAATGTCGATTAGATATTGGTTTTGTATACATAAATAACAATTACTACTCTTTTTCTCTTAGATATATAAAGTGATGATTTAGATTAAATCAACGAAGATTGTTTAGAAAAGAAGCTGACAACAATATGTAATATTACGTACACGATTCTTAGCGCAATCATAGTGCAACAGGACGCGAACTTTTGACTCGTTTATGCTTCACGCGGTCGTCAATAAAATACTTAGTCTCTGCTTTGTACCGCTTTGTCATTCATAAATGTAAAACGTACTGCCACAACTCGGTTACATCCAGGGGAGATGGAAATATAAGCGTGAACGTGAAGATACATTTCGATCATATGATATTCTGTATTGTGCGATTAAAATATGTAATAATATATTCTGTAAAAATATTTAACGTGCGTCACAATTCTAAAGTTATTTTATGATACTAAATATTGCACACTATTCGTATATTAGTGCTATAAATTTTATATACGCCGCTTTTTCCTTTATTTAGTCTACCGCTGCAATAATAATACCGCAGAATAATCTCGCACAACTGCAGCAAATTATTATCTTTTCTCTTTAATGAAAATGGATTCTTTGTTAGCATTCTCTCTAAGAGAACTTTCGTCAATATTTTTAAAAAGTAAATTCTAAAAACATTGAATAGTTTGCAAAATTTGTTCGCGTTTCGGATTGCACTTTCGTATCGCAGAAATATGTGCTGTCGGTTAAAGATCATTAATACTGCTTAGAAACAAAACAAAGATTGTAATATCCATGGACGTAGAAATACCTGGACGGAGCGCAACCCTGCGGGGTTGAAGCATAAAGGGCGAGGGGAATGAAATGTTTATTGAAACGGATGAAGCCTTTAAGATGGTCGCAGTGGATAATTTCATGGAGTATGATCTATTTGAACGTCTTGAAACGAAAAAAGCTTTTGTTATGTATACTATATTACTCACTATACTAATAATGATTATATTAATCACTATTAATCACGTTATTTTTTTGTGCAACGGATATATTCATGAACATATTGATAGCGGATGACGGCAGCGGATAATTTCACGGAATGTGATCGTTGCAATGTCTAGGTTAACGTCGAGTAATACCGCGCGACGTGAAAGTAGAAGTAGACGCTAAAGCCTATCACACACAAATTGGCATAGCTGCATATGCATAGCATAAGACCGTCTGGACCAATGAGCATCGAAATAAAATCGCCATATTGATTTACATAGCATGCTCATTGGTCCAGATGGTCTTATGCTATGCATATGCAGCTATGCCAATTTGTGTGTGATAGGCTTAAAGGCTATCACAGGCTTAAAGGCCATCACACACAAAATTCCGTAAGGACATAAGACGTAAGCGTAAGAAAATCGACTAATCTCAATCGAGTATTTGGCTCTCCGTAATCCCTCCACTTTTATGGAAAGCCCTCGATTGGGATTGGTCAATTTTCTTACGCTTACGTATTATGTCCTTACGGAATTTTGTGTGTGATGGCCTCTAATCTGAGGCCTCTAAGATGGACGCGCCCATGGATGCAAGAAATATCTGGATGGAGCACAAAATACATTTTCGGGCGCGGGGTATGAAGACTGAGAAGTAAGGGAAAATCTTGATGTGGACATCTTGATTGTG